TTATTTAATTTAAATAAATATTTATTAAATAATAACAAAAATAAAAAGTGCCATTATTTTTGTCCCATACTGTATATCATATATATGTGAATCCATTATTAGAGTTATCTGCATTTAATTGATTTTTTAATAATTTGCATCCTAAAATCATATTGAATGCATTATCTATAATAATGGTCTAAATATGATTTTGAAGATTGAATTTATTTAACAATTCTAATGTAGATTCCAAAATAGCTTTTTTTATATGACTTACTTTAAAATGTTTAATATCTGAAGTAAAATAATATAAGTTTCAATTATTATCTATATAATAAATTGTTATTCCTAAAAATATTTCATATTTAATTGATGTCTAAAAATCAGCAGTTATACTAATTTTTTCAAGAATTTTTGAAAGATAATCTGATAATTTTCCATATCATTGTTCAAATTGTGAAATTATTGTATTTTGAATTGTTTGTCAATTTGGAATTCTATATAATAGATCAAAAGAATCAACCATTAAGTAAAAATTATCTGATTTGATTATTGAAAATGGAAGCATGTTAATTACTGTCACCTTAATTACAAAATTTGTCTTGGCTTCTTGAGTTGAAGCTGAATGATCTTCATTTGTTATTAAAGTTGAGTGTCCATCGAGATGTTTTTGAATAGTTGAAGTTAATGTAGATGTTGCAAATTTAGCATTGCAAGTGTAACATTTTTGCATTTCTGAATCTACATAAATCCAAACTTTTGATGATTTCTTTCGTTTTTTGAATTGTGATGTCATATGATCTTGAATATTGTCAGCAATTTTTTCATCATTTAACTCCATATTTTCTGTTTCAATATCATTATTAGAGCAATTTTTAGAATCATCATCTGAAAATTCTAAAGGTATTGTATTGTCAGAATTATCCGAATCGATTCAATCCAAATTGTCTTCAAATTTTTTTGACATTTTCGATGCTATAAGAACAGAAAATTTAATAATTAGATTGGATTTTATATATAATAAATTATATTATTTAATTAAGATTTGTCTACGTATCAAAAAAATATAACAATATTAATTATAAATTAAAAGGTCAAACAAATATTTAATTTAATATACTGTAACTTCTATTAAATTTAGAATATTAAGAACTGGGATTATATATTAGGAACTAAAGTATTCATATATATGCCTTACTATTACATTTACTTTCATTTACATATTTGTCAATTCGTATTTTAGAAAGTTAAGAGGACGTTGCCCAAGCAATCCCATTTTGCCTATTATCATGCATGTTCCATTCTTACTCACTCTAAATCTTTTTTCACCTACTCTTCTGTTATGAAGCTGGGGGATCGGTAACAATTCTATATTCTCGAGGTCTTGGCCTCACTATTTTAGGTTGAATTCAACATGGTTGGTTGAACCGATGTGCAATTTCGTCACATGACGATGATGTCTGGTTGGATTATTTACTATCAATCATGAGAGTTGAACTTAAATCTGCTTACAAATATATAAGGAGGTATTGAACCGCTGACACAGTTAGAAGGCAATATTTCAAATTGATATTATGTAACTTTATAAAATTATAACAGTTCTTTGTAGGTGTTAGTTCTTTTACAAACTGATAGAAGATTGGAAATACAACCGGATTATCTAAACGTGCGGAAATGGCCTTTTTGTACCAACGCGTTTTTGACATCGATACTCAATGCCTTGTAACACTAAGTCCAATTCCTGAAGGTATTAACATCAAACAAAATCATATTCTTATTCTTAATGTTCAGTTGTTATTAGAAATTCTCTGGCATTACCTTAATGGATTGCCTGGACGAATGAGAATCTTGAGCCCATCATAGCAGCTGGTATCAAGACCGGTGATATTAATCCGTTCACCAAACAGGCTATGTTAGATGTAACATTCGAGGTAACAATCTCAATGGTTAATATAAGGAAAAGTGAATTAAAGTGAAAAATCTACTTGAATTTTAAAAAGGGAGCCGGTTTCGGTCCAGAATTTAGTAGTGAGGCTAACTGGTATTCAGTAATTCCTATTTCCTATCGAGAAGAATACCAAGTGCTTTTCAGGTAACTGGTCAATGCATGATTACTGCGATGATGAAGAAATCCTAAAAATAAATGATTAATAATTTGCATTATTTGCGGAAGGTGAAAGCTTGCCTGAGGTATGATTTATAGATCGAGGGATCGCATGCCGATCTCAAGGTGGAAACGCAAAGTATTAACATTCGATGGATCAGAGTCTGATTCCTTTACCCTTTAACAATGATCGATAATAACAATCCAAATAGACTTAGAAATAAGGTTATGTTTCCTAGAGTAGATTTTGAATAAAATTACTTGTCCCAGCTAGTTCGAAAAAGGAAAATTTTAAGGCTTTACTCGAGACATTACTGATTCTCAAAAATAAAGTTATCAAACAAACTTTTAATTATACGTTTAATCTGACTTTAACAATATCATTATGAACAAGGCAATCAAAATCAAATACAGTTGAGTGAGCTAACACAACTTCAATGCGCAATCCGCGTCACATTCACTAGTTATATTTAACCATTACTGGGTTTTATTAAAACACTGAGACATACTCTTTTTATATATTTTTAGAATGTTACATAAGTTTATAAATTAATATAACTTATTGTTAATATAATCGTTCAGATAATAAGAATAATAAAAAAATATATATTTATCACTAATATCTCTAAAATCAATTCTGTTTTAATTATCTATAGAATTTCTATTATTCAAGAAATCGGGAATCTAAGAAATTGGCATTATTATAGATCTCAATACAATACGCGTAGATTGCCAATCATGATCTTTTTTTCCCCTTTACACTTCTTTGGGAGTGGGAGGACTACACAAAAGAGTCAGATAGGAATTGGACGGCAAAAAACAAGTACTGATGACATAATTGTTCCATCCTTTCCATAAATTATTTCCTGTCTGTAATTAAGATTATGAATAATGTGGAATATTATATATACATATAATTTTAAAAAACGTTTAATTAATTTATATTAATTAAAAAAAATTTTTTTTAATATATTTAATTGGTCGTGATTTAATCGGCTCCTTTTCAGCTTAATAGCTTTGAAGAGTTGAAACCAAACCATTTATTGTTACGACTTATATAAGTTAGCCGATTAGAACTGAAACATTTATTTATCACTAGTTTCTGTGCCCAATGGATAGTAACAATTTCAACTTCTTCTGATAGGATAACTATTGTATGTATCTGATTTGATTCGTAGCATAGGTGACAAATTATTCTTTATTATCAAAATTTAATTTCAATATACATAGGATATGGAATTTAGAGAAGGGCATTTCCATGTCTGTATATGGTCATCACGGACGGATGTTGTGTATTGCATAGAGTATAGATAATAAGGATTTGATTTTCACAGGTGGAGATGACGCGATGTGTTTCGGCTGAAGACTATCTGAAAATATTTGCAAATGTTTGACTGGTATTTTGATTATTACAATAAAAATATCTGTTTACATTTATACTTGCGGTAAGATTCACAACAATTATTACAAAATAGGCACAACATGAAAACCTCCCCAAAATTAAACTCAAATAAAGTCATTATATTAATGGCTGACATGAGTATGTTTACATCTTCGCATGCAAAAAAATCTTACCCATCGAACCCAATCATAGGATAAGATATTCATACATCAAAGAAGAACAAGAAATTAAAAAATTTATTGCCATTGAGTACAACACCACCTGTTCAACGTAAGAACCTTTAATATTGAATTTTTGATCTTGCAAAAAGGTCATAATTGCGGTGATTTAGTAAAAGCATTGGAATTTTGGACTGGTAAAGAAAGCTTGAATGATAAGGATCAGCAAAGTCCATTGTCTGTAGATTTATTTTTTGGAGAAGGAAATATCAATTGTAAAAGAAGGTGATTCACAATATTCTCCTTTTATCACTTGTATATAAAATTTTTCTCATTATATTTATTTTTTAATATATATTTTGAAGTTTTATCGCACAATTCCTCAGAGCAGTCTATTGGTATAGGTGGCCTAGAAGTTAATAGATAATTGTGAAGGACAAAATAAAAATTAATGTTTTTTATAGTATTTTCTTTGGATCTGCCATATTTGTATGTTTCAAAAAATTGAATATTGATTTCAAATAAAAGGTCATACCTGAAATCTGTTGATCATGGATTTGATAATACTAAATAAGAATATATTAAATCAGAAATTTGATGTATTAACCAATTAACTGATATAATAAATAGAAGTACAACTAATAATATTTTCATAAACTTGGAAAATTAAGAAGGAATATATCATAATTAGACTTTAGCACTTAGCTTATTATATCATAAACATATAGATATTCAAAAATATCATTTTTTCAATTTAGCTGTGAAAACCCTGGTATAATGAAAGCTAAAATTAGAATTAATGACTTTTGGGATGAATTTTATTTACTAAAACAAAATTCTAATATCGAAAATTTAAATCCACAAGAGCTTCCATTAAAAGGTCTTTCTGAAGAAAAAAAAGTAGACCTTTGGATAAATATACATCCATATTGTCCAATTATTTTTCGTGATAAATTTTGTTCAAAGCCAAATAATAATTTAATAGAAAGAGTTGGTAATAGTAAAAGGGCTCATGCAAAAGAAACACAACAAAAATAAAATATTGAAAAAAAATAGTTAAATCTGTTCTAAAAAAAATTACAAATAGTAATAGATTTTTTTATATTTGTACTTTTATTATGAAGATTTGTTGTATTACCGAAATATCCAGAATATCAGATTATATATATGATTAGTTATGTAAGATCATTATTATTAAGATAATAAACTTTTACTTACTGATTTTCCTTTTTGCACACTCAAATGGGTCAAACCCGAACCTGACCCGAACTGACCCATTCGGAACATTATGAATTTGATAAAATTAAAAAATTTATAGATACTATACCTAAACATGTAAAATAAGTAATTAAAAAAGGTTACACAACACATTGGTAGTTTATTTTTTAATATTAAAAATAAAATATATCACGTAGTAATTTTTTATGTTATAAAATGTGATGTCACCCATCTGTACATTAACATTTAAAATTGATACTAAGCTCATTGTTGTTTTTTCTTAATTATAATTAGAAATTCATTTTTGTACAGGACCAGTTTATCAAGAAGCTCAAATTTAATTCACGAATGTCAAATTGTTAATTCAAAAATAAAATATAATTAAGTAAAATAAATTAACAAAGAAAAGATATGTTATACAGTAGTAATGTAGATTAAACAACATAAATATTATAAATTCAAACATTTGATATAATTTCAAAATATCAAATTGTTAAAAAATTAATAGAAATTTAATTGTCAGCCCTCTATTTTTCGAAAAAAAAAATGGAAATTGAAATCTTTATAAACGTGTTTATATTGAGGTTTTTGGTAGTGTAAAATATACTATTTACCTTAAAACGTCAATTTCTCGCTTGTGAAGGAATGAAATTAAGAAGTCGCCTTTTAAGACTTGGCTTTTGACTTGTCTGATTCACTTCAATTTCGGAATTTTTTGGCTGTAGAAGATTTTTAAAATCAAGAAGTTTGCTTGTACGAAGAAGTTGACTTGTATGAATTTGTTCACTTGTACGACCAAGTGGTTGATGCGTTCGATTCTCTTCACTTGCATTAATTTGCTTGTTAAGTTCGGAATCGAATTCTAACCTTTTCCAAGCATTTAAAATTTTACATAAGTCTTCTGCGGATGGTCGTCTTGCTGGATCAGCATCCCAACATTTTTT